GGGTGAATACCCACTTCGTCGGACGCAGGATGCGACATGCATCCGACGAAGTGGGTATTCACCCACGAAAGCTCATGCTCCAATGCGTCTGTTAGTCTATAAGGTGCCACAGGACTCTTTGCTAATTCAACATTAAAAATCAAGAATTGACAGAATTACACACAAGGAGGAGGAGGAGGAGGAGGATTCTCCTTGAACAATGAAAGAGAAAAAAAAAGCAGCCACCCTTATAGCTCATTTGGGTGGGTTTTTAAAAATTATTTAGATAAGTTTTGGGTTGCTTCAGTTGCTTACAAATCTGATTTTAGAGTTATATAACTGACGCCTTCATGTCAGTGCTCAGATACAGCAAGTACAATTTATGTTGACTTGCACAATTTCAGGAACAAAGGAGAGATAAAACAGGCTACAAAATCAAATCCACATAAGGGCAGGATAAAAAAATGCATCAGATTGGACTGATACCATAAATGTTCTTAAGCAAAAAAGACTAAAACACAGCAATTGCATATTTTTTAAAAAAGTCAAAGTATTTGGTTAGTGGATTAGATTTTTCCACTACACAAAGTAGCTGTATCAAATTATCATCATCTTGTTGTCTTAAAGCACATGCCTCAAGGGTACAGAATTATCCCTTTTAATGTTCATCATGAAAGACCGAAAGAGGCATTAAAATATATTTAAAAAAAAATTATGCTGTGGGGGTTTATCCAGGGAATTTGTTATGGCTCTTAAGTGTGTCAATCATAATAGTTTGGCAACCCATTTCCCTGACCATTAGGTAACAAAGTGGATATGAATCACTGAAGATCTGGTTAAAAGCCACAAACCATTTAGGGGCATACCCGTTCACCCCTTCTGAAATTTTTGCACCATAACACATAGGCTTTTAATTCATTAGCCAACAGTAACTACAATAAGGAATTTATGTAGGATTTTACCAAGTCCCCTCTGGAATGGCTCAATAGTTCAAATGTTTTATTTTTTTAAAGGAAAAGTGAGAGTTGCCCAGATGGTATGGCAACAGGCGCGACAAAGGATCATGAGGCATTAGTGTTTTAATGAAGGGAAAGTGACACTGTCTGTTCTTAGAGGTTTGTTTTGCATTAAGCCAGACTTCAGGGAAGCACTAACAAGGGAGGGGGAGGGGGAATTGTCATGGACATTTACCAGCGCAGGCACAAAAGTCTACTCACCTGTTCTTTATCACATGAACAGAGGTACACCTTTACCTCGAGATAATGCTACCCGATATAACACAAATTCGGATATAAAGCGGTAAAGCAGTGCTCCAGTGGGGACAGGGCTGCACACTCCGGTGGATCAAAGCAAGTTCGATATAACACCTATAACATGGTAAGATTTTTTGACTCCCGAGGACAGCATTATATTGGGGTAGAGGTGTACTTTATTCACTCATAAAACCACACACACACACAACCCAGGCGAGTGAGCAAAAAAGAGTTTTGCAAGGCTGCAACTAGCAGGTAACCTATGGAAGAAAAATCCCCCCCCCCTTTTATTTTGAAAGCTCAAAATAGAATCTAGCAGTTTGGGGTTCACATAGCAGCAAACCATCAACTGTCACATTCTCAGCTGCCTTACGGAATATGCTATCACAGCTAACTCATCCTGACAGAGAAGGAATATCTGTCCTTTGGTTAAATAGCCTTGAATGAACGTGTGTAACGCTACCAGAAAACATTAACTGGAGATCAGCGTGTTTTTTCTGGGCTGTGTGGGTCTTATGAAAGACACCAGCAGAATAACAATATGGCACAAAGCAAGGCAGATTTCATTACTTTGTAGTGCCTGCACTTGCTCATAACTTGGATTTACACACTGCAAATCCTCCGATCTGATTACCTCCAGTGATCATGTAAAATGCTGGCTTTAAACTCTTTGCCTCAGTGATAAAAACGGACACTTTGATTCACAACAACACATTCACAATAAAGTATACTGTAAAAGTACCTGTCCACAGCCGGGGGCATTGCACACAAACGGCCTGTCGTCTCCCATATTTCATATAGCTGGGCAAAGCTGAGGAGAAAGGAAAGAGGGATGGAAATTGTTAAATAACCTAAAAAATTCAAAATATCAGGAGCAGACTTAATTATATTCCTTTAAAGAGCATAAGACTGCGGATATGGGGAAGAAGGGGGTTTCTGTGCCACTAGATTACATGTACAGAAAAAGGAATTCATCCAGTCTGAGTTAAATGCTGAATTAACGTGACCCAGTAATTTTTGCAGTTGCAAAGAGGAAATTTTGTCTAATAGTTAAAAGAGGAGCCATGACAGCCTAGCCTAATGGTCAGGATAAGGGATATGTAGTCAGCACTCCAGGGTTCTTTCACGGCCTGGCCTTTCTCCATCTTAGGGTATGTCTACACTGCAGCTGGGGCATGGGTAGACAGACATGGTAGCTCCGCTCAAATAAGTGCACTGAAAATAGCAGTGTAGCCAGGGGTAGCACAGGCTGTCACTCGGGCTAGCCACCTGATTACAAACCTGCCTGGACCCCCTGGATATCTCGAGCTGCCTCCCCATGCTACTGCAGGTCTGTCTACCCACACTGGGAAGAACTCTCCCAACTGCAGTGTAAACATACCCTCAGTATCCACCCCAACCCCCCATCTGTAAATGGCAACTGTACCTACATGTCTCACAGTAGGACTGTAAGAAATAATAAACATCTGCAAAACACTCCTGTATCCTCAGATGGAAGGTACTAGAGAAAAGCAAAGTATTAATCCAACTGTTTATTTTCTTCATTGATTTTTAATATAGTATACAAAGCATGTACACATACACACACACACACACAAACGTTCTATAGAAAAATGCGCTACCCAGAAGCGGTTCGATAAATCGAGTCTGCTCTGCATACAAGTTATATTTTCAATGGGAGAGAACTAAAATTTGTCATTTAATTAATTAAGGGATTATAGGAGTGGTGCTCCATTTTACAAGGCAATAATCTGGCTCCCTAGTGGGTAAACTACATGGCTGATGGCAAGGGTAGTTTATCACAGATTATAGCCAAGGATAACAAAGCACTCTGTCCTATTATGCTACAAGTGAAGCTATTCTTATTAATAAAAAATAAGAGTAAATAAAGTAACCCCCACCACCTCAAATTCTAGAAATAATGGTTCCATCCACCTACTGATATTTTTATAGCTGGATTTTAAAAAGCTATAATAAAGAAAATGTTATCTCTTCAGGGGGTTTACTGTGTGAACGTGTTCTGACTGTTCATTTTGCTTCCAGTCTCTCTCTCCGAGTTACGCTCTTGGCTGCAGAAAGCCGACAGGCATCACTGGAGCCAAGAACAGAAATGGAACCAGAATGCAGCCAAAATTACTTCATTAAAAAAAAAATACACACTTTTTGTTTAGATTTTAAAATTTCTAACCATGTAAAAACACCTCAGTAGTACTGAGAGGGTGGAGAGAGTTATTTTTAGGAACGATATGGAAAGTACTCTAGTGGTGCAGCAAAACAAGACTTGGGAGGTATGTGGGAGAAGTTTGCATTTTAATGGGAGCTAAAGATGGCTTAGGGGTGTAAAGGAATAGCCTATCTGAAAGGACTGATGAGATGTGGAGCTTTCCCCTCCCTAGCGTGCTTGATCAAATCTTGCCCAAGTTGGTCCTGGCTAAAAACTGTTCCCTGTTTAGCAGCCTGGGTGAAATGAGTGGATTGCAATTCTGTTCTTTCTAAAGCGTATCTACAAAGTCTGCTATCACAGTTTGGACTACGTTTAGATTTATTAAGCAAATGAACTCTAGGCCCTATATATACACACATGAAAAAACAATGGGTAAATAGCCTCCAAACAAAAATATAATGGACTGGCAACAAGGGTGCTTCATAATTTGCAGATAAAATGAGGTTAACCACAAATATTAGCTCCCCACACACACCTTCCAGAAAACTCAGGAAGTTAAATGGGCCTTGCAGAGTGCACTGAAGGTTAGTTAACAAGCTCAAAAGATCCTAGAGGAAGCAGATTGGCTTGGGATTTTGTTTGTGGTTGGGGAAGGAGAACAGTTCCAATGGCAATGGTCCCTCACAGAAAATGCCCTGCTAGCAGTCCCTCCTTCAGAAACCACAGGATTGTCAGCTCAGAGCCTTCTCCTGATCAGAAAAACCCCATGAGAGACTCAGCTGGGAAGCAAACTGCTTAAGACTTTATAAATCAACAACAACATTATCTTAAATTGTACCTGTAAATTAATATAAATCCTGGAGCACCATCATAGTACAAAGCAGGAGTTTTCTCATGGATCTGAAGATTATGGCCTAGAGAGCTCCTGACAGTGATCTAATCTCGAGTGGCAAAGGCATGGCAGATAACAGCAAGAGGAGTATCTAAAATATGTCAGAAGCCTCAAAAAGCACAGATGCGGGAAGGGGCGGGAGAAAGAGAACAAACCAGTCTTGGCCACATCTGTCTAAGATTCCAACTGAGACCTCAAATTGTTAACTTGAGAAACCAAAAAGGTGAGTGCACTCCCTCTAATCAAGGGGGCTCATCTCCACCACTGAGTTTCTAACCAGAGTCTACAAACATCACCACAATCTTCTCCAGACTGATCTTCAGCCAGCTAGCCCTCATTCTAGACCTAATCTCATTCAGGCATTGGGTAAAATCACTCATATGCATCAGAGGACACCACAAAATGGAGATATAGATGTGGGGGTTAACAACAGGGGTGTTATCAACAGCATATTGAAAGCAGGATACGTCCATGCTTCTTCAATAACTAACATGTATACAAAGCCTTCAAACAGGAGGAATGACAAGGTCAAATGATGCAGTAACGTGCATGTCTGCCCCATGCTCATTCACTCAGAACAACTCTCTGAAATCTAGAAAGAAAGGAGCAAAGTGACCAGACAAACTCCATTAGCCCCAGCTAAGGACTAGAACCATCTCCCCAGAACCTTGTGGTCAGCTGTATCAAAGGAAGCAGATGGTTCTAAAAGAGCCAACATGGTCAATTTATCTTTGATTTCTTCCTTTAGATAGATAATGCAACTGATGCTGTTTCTGTACCATAACCAGATCAGAAATCTAACTGGAGTGAAGGAAAAGTTAAGACTCCCTCCAAATCCTGCTAGAATTGCTTTGTCACCACCTTTCCCAGAAGAAGGTAAATTTTGAAACACGATGGTAATTTGGAAGGACTAACAGTATCAAGAGATGGTGTACTAAGACAAGACCTAACAATTGCCTATTCAAAGGAAGCTGGTACCCTGTTCTTCCAAAAGGATGTGATGGTATTCACCAAGCATAGTCCCAGTATATCCAGCTAGTTTTTACCAATCAGGAAAGACATAGGACCAACATGCAGTCCAAAGACTCCTCAGTACCTCCAGACATTAGGTCAGCAACCATTTTAGTGTGGTCTATGGACTCAACCCAAAACTGCACATCAGGTATTCCAGATTTCTAATCCCTGGTTAGACAATAACTTGTGTGGTCTTTGACAAGTTGATTCCCATCTTCATGCTTCAATTTCTCCATTTGTAAAAGGAGATGCACCCTGTGAAGCAAGGGATGGTTAACAATTAATGTTTAAACATCACTTTGAAGATGTAAACTGCTATGATTGCCAAATCTTCAAGCTGTTAATCTCAGTACGAAGGATTGTATGCCTAGGGAGACCATAAAAAGCAACAGAGAGTCCTGTGGCACCTTTAAGACTAACAGATGTATTGGAGCATAAGCTATGGAGACTATGCTCCCCTCTCAGAGAGCCAGGGGTTAGGTACACTGGTGAGGCTGCGTAGGAGGGGAGATTGCATTGTCAAGACAGCCATGGGGAGTGAAGTCCTCTGTCAGTGCAGTGGTGAACTTCATCAGCAATTTTAGACAGCAGGTTTTGGAGCTATTAAACCATTGAAGAAAGAGCAATCATGTTGTGATAACAGGAGAATGGCAGACAAGGAATGGATGAAAAGGTGGCATTAGTTATCTTTTAAAGTTTTGCAAAAATCCACCTTAAAAAAAGGTGAAGTTACTGAATGGTCAAAGGGTGAAGACTTATGAAGTTAAAACTTTAACACAATTTGGGGTTTTAAATGGAGCTGCATGGTATACTTAGCTAGCAGGAGAAGTGATTTTTCTAATAAAAAGTCTATTAAATTTGTAGGATAATAAGAAGGGCTGCTCTAATTTACAAGGCAAAAATCCTTACTTTTCCTTAATTAATGTAATGTCAGACATCTGTCACTTAAACAGCTTGTTTCCTCCCCCAATACTTAAGATTTTGGGTCTCTCTTCATTTGGTATTTATGCTTCCAGTTCACATAAAAGCTGTTTATGACATTAAAAAAAAATAAAATAAAAATGAATCAGCAGACAGTCTTGTGGCTTTGATAAAACTAATCAAAACTGAGGAAAAAACAAACACCGTATTTCAGGTTTCCCCCCCAGACACTTCTGACAGTGTAACAAGCAGCTCTGTTTAAAAATTTGAAGACTTGTGCACTATAAGAATTGCAGTTAACGGATCTTGCAAGATATTAGGAGGATTCATTTTGTCCCTCAAAAACTATTAACTGCTCACTCACTAAGAACAATAACCTGCATGTAAATACATGTACAGAGATTTATATCACATTTAGTCAGGATAAACTGCTTCAATAAACTCTATTCTTAAGAAAAAGGCAGAATAAGCAGACAACTGGATACTGGGAGAACAGCATTTTTATTCCTTTTCCCACAGTCCCAGGACCATATTTTGCTGTTTTGATTATTTTTAGCATGTTTGAAAACACAACGTAAAGCAAAGAATTAGATTATTGAATCATTCTTTAAAATTCTGTCAGTGCACTTCTGAAGAGCATCTGCCACCTCATGGAAAGTTTTGGGAAAAACAAAACAAAAAAAACATTCTACTGAGGACATGGCTACACTTGTGAGTTAGAGCGCATTAAAGCAGCCCAGTGCACTTTAACTCACAACCCGCCCACACTGGCAAGGCACATAGAGCGCTCTGACTCCGTAGCTAGTGCGCCCCTGGTACT